CTTTAGTTAAGTACATATGTTACGTGACAGAAGTTCAAATAAATGAATGTTGATTTGTCTGCAGATAGTGCCCCCTTAGCTGAGGCGTGATTCTCAACTGATCAGCACAGCGACGTTGTGTGAAACTGCAGTGACATCATATTTAACGTGTGGCTAGTATATTTATTGTCGCTAGTTTGGCTATTAAAAGACGGCGGGTTGGTGCAGGATGTCACGTGCGGCGCTAGTGACGATTCTCTCTGATCAATCAGTTTTCTGCAGTGTTTTAACTCCACCCTCTAACTGCTCAGCTCGCTCGGAATCCGGACTGAGATGGTACCAAAAAAAAATACCAGTTACTATTCACAACTTTTAACTGGAAACTTTAAAATAAATGTTCTAAAGGGTAATACACTGAACTGAACAGGTGGTAATGCAGCTTCAGAGGCAGCCCTGCATGTCGGGTTATATACAGATTACAGTGCTTTACTGCTTTTCATAGAACAGTGAATGAGTTTTAGAGGTAATGCGAACTCTCATACAGTGCCTGGATACATTAAGAAATCCGTCTTCATGTTAAGTTAGTTAAATCTTATAAATGGAAAAGGTAAACATTCTATTTTTAAAAATGTCATGTCATGTGTATTTATCTAAAAGTTGTTTTTTTTTAACCTAAAAAATATAATATATAATAATTATATAAGGAATAGTTAGTTTAGCATTTTGGGAAATATGCTTGTGACTGAGAGGAGAAGATGGATATCAATTTCATGACTGTGTGTGAAGTACAGAGCTGGAATCAGGACGTGGTTAGCTTAGCTTAGCATCAAGATGGTAAGAAGGGGGGTAGTAGATAGCCTGGCTCCAACATACAGTAGTTCCCACTAATTCAAATGTTTGACCAACAGAAATGAAAAATATCTGACAGCCTCAATGTGATGTAAAGACATTAGTGATGATAGAGTTACAGCAACGTATGCTGCTTTAAAATCATTTAGGAAGAAAAGTGTTGCATATCAAAACAGGATATTCAATTGATAAGGTGTCCAAGAACACTAAATAGAAGCTTCACTTATAGTTAGTTAAATTGCTGCTGATGTTATAAAACCTTATCTGTAGTTCACACTACATGACTTCTAGCAGGATAGATATCTGGAGCTGTCAAGGAGCAACAACCAATGAGAGCAATAGGAACTTTACTGTTTAAGTTGCATTTGCAACACCGGCCAAAACTGTTATTACACCTAGGCTGTTGCATGTTTGCATGAATAAACTTAAGACATAACACGATGTATGATCTACATAGAAGGAACAGAGAAGATGAGGGGAAACAGGCTAATATGTGATGAAGAGTACAGTGATCCGACCACTTTGAAAGTCGTGTATTGAAATAATGTTAACACCATGTCATTTGTGAGGCACAAACCTGTCTCAGTCAAACAGGCAAAGCCATGCAATTAAACCGTGTTTTTAGTTCAAGGATTACTGGTTTCATTGAAACAGATTGTATTACGTTTCTGTGTTATATATGTTGGAGGTATATAAAACGTGCACTGAATGGTCAGTAGCCTCGTTTCGCATTCCTCACCTCACATGGGCGCATTGATTGTTATTATTATTAGATCATATGTCATGTTTACGCAGTAGTACTTATATTATTTACCCATAGGTGATTTATTTTTGAAATTAATGTAAAAAAATGTAATGCAAACTATGACAGACGGGTAAATATTTTGTCCGAGGGCCAGATTTGTCTCGCGGGCCGTTTGCCTAACACTGCCATAAATGATTATTTTACGTTTCTGTATACGTCTAAGTTACACACATGGCTACATGTTAACTAGCCACCTTTAGAATATTGGTTGACATTTTTGTCCCACTCTGCTAGGCTAACTGTCTTGCCCTGCTGTCAGTCTTTATGCTAAGCTAACCGTGTCCTGACAGTAGCTCCATACACATAGACATGGGGTTGATTCTCATCTCCCTCTCAGAAAGAAAGAGAGTGAGTTCCAGCCCTTTACTGCCACACAACACACAATCAATACACACTGCTGCAGGTCCACTTCTACTGTGCATGTTTCAAACTGTTTTACATTAATCAGTACACCCAAGAAAGGATACACAGATCCCGGCTCTTATAGAGGCCAATCAAGATGCTAATAAAGCACATGAGCATTATTAACTTTAATATATTCCCTCTAGAACACAACAAGAGAGACCATATTTAAATTAACTTATAAATAATAAGGTCTATCAGTGCTGCAAACATTCTTGTTGTGTTTAGCTGCTACTGTGAGCTTCCTCTGTTCTCACTTTAGTGTGTGTCTGGGGGGGGGAAGGGGGGTTAAGGAATGAAGAGGAGGAAAGTGGAGATCCAGAAAGCCCATGTGGAAGGGAAAGAGGGGCTGATTTGGACTGAGACCCCCCCCTCACCACCACCACCACCACCACCCGGAGCTGCTCCAAACATGGCTGCTCACATCAAAGGCAGCCTTGTATCTCAGAGGAGTCGCTGAGGACTTTACAGCAGCTCGCCTCAGGCCTGAATACGGGGGCCCCGCACACCTCCTCCAACAGCAGCGGTGGATAGCCGCCGGTGGGACCCGAGGAGCCGGGACAGACGGACCCGGCACGGTGTGCAGTGTCATCGTCACAGGACGGGCTGCACCAGACGGCTGCTGGGCGGCCTCGCGTCTCATTCCACTCAACAAATCTAGTAAGTTGTTGGTTTGCTGCCGACACCGGCTCGATTAAAAATGTCTGTATTTTGAATAATTTACTTCATAAATAGATAATACAAGCTCATTATAAGGGTGCATCAATATTCTAGCGATAAGCTGAGAGAGGAGGGATCTTTTTGTACTAGAGTTTTGGGTTTCACCCAGCAGTGATTTTCTTGCTTATTTCCCACTCCTAACAAGGTGGTGCCTTCCAGGGCTTCTACATGGTAAATAAAATAATACAGTTTGGAACACATGTCTGTAGGCTGATCTGTAAACAACCTAAAAAAATAGGGTGACAAAAGAGAAAGAAAAGGCAAAAAGCTTATCTACACCTCAGCGTAAAAATTGTCAGACAATATCTCACAATGCTTTTACTCAGAGCTTAATGCTAATTAATCTGAAAGTTTACTGAAAGAAACAGTGTGTAGCATTTCAGGGGATCTATCAGTGATTATACTTTAATCGCCTGAAACTAAGAATCTTTGCTTTTTCTTTAGCTTAGAACGAGCCAAGAGAGAGCCTTTGACGTTTTTCCGTCACCTGAAGGCCACTGTAGTTCTCCCACACGTGAGCCACTGAGTGCCAAACTGTGGAACCGCCAGCCGCTGACTGACTTCCTTTGCTGCTAAAATAGTGTTATTATGGTGATAATTGCCTCTGAAGGAGGCAAATGTCGTTACCACGGTTTTGCCCTCTGCACCCCACGTTACACAGTCTTGGACAGGGCTGAGTGAGTGGAGGGTTATACAGTTGGGTGAAATCTGCAACCACACCACTACATGGCACTAAATCCTATACACTGTCCCTTTAGAGAGAGTGCACTAATATTTTTGAGAATGAAAAAGGATTATTTCCAAAAATTCCACACTGATCCAGTACACAATGATGGTTCAAATGTATTGATTTGACACTTGGAATATTTTTTCACAATATATATATATTTGGACTTTCCCAAGACCAAAAAGTCTTAGCCAACTAGTAGCTTACTTCCAGAATGAGCACTTTACCACTTGGAGAGTGATGCTTACCTTTGAAAATGACTGTTGGCGTGAAAGAGAAATAAATTGCGTTTTACAATTTAAGTATGGAACCTTACACAAAACAACGCTGTTTGCCAAATGAACATCACTAGATTTAAATGAGTTTGTTTTTGGTTTCCTTTACTGCTCTTGGGTTTTTATAACCCAATACAGTCCATTGTCACTCCCAAGTTGTCAAAAACAGGAGCTTAGTCAATGTCTCTACCCTTCAAACTATGACGCTCTACATGGCCGTGGTTAGGAAGTCTGGTGACGTAGCATAAAGAGATATTATGTCAGGTTGGGAGGAGGTTGGAGGGTTTATAAAAAAACACGGGGCCGCTGTTCATGTCCAGTGTGAAACCAAATGTCAGATTTATTTTAAGTCAACATAAATTATGTGACGTAAAATAACGTAGATTACATAGATTACGTAAACATAAAAAAACATACTTATTTGAACCCAAACCACTATCTTTTCCTAAAGCTAACCAAGCTGTTTCCTGTGAAGACAAAAGTTTATTTTGAAAAGATGCATGAAACGGTGGAAATAGGCTCATCCGAAAACGGAATCTAGAGGTGTAGAGCGTCACATTTTGAAGCGTAGGGCCACTGACCAATCATCTGTATTTGACGAGGTGGGAGGGGTAACATGTTGCACCAATACAATGACTAGAAAGCATTAGAAAGCATTCATTCATGTATCCATTCATTCATTGTCTCACCCTAACAATCAGAGTCAGACTCCCAGTCCACACTACGCAGGAGTCAGAGAAACAGCCTGACCGCTGCCAGCATATCAAATGCTTATTTCAGAGTCAATTTATTCAAAGAAAAGAGAAGTTAATTGAGGGTGCTTCTGCTTGCCTTTGATGAGTGAAAGCCTTTACTGAAGGTGCTCTTTAGTTTACCAATGACACCAAGTGAAAATTGGAAGAGGCACTTCAAGTCCAGTTTTTAAAAAAGCGGTTAAGTCATGGCTTGTTTAAGGGAACATATTAATTAACGACAACACCAGTGCTTGTGGCTTTCATCAGCAAGTAGCACATCAAGTCAATTTAGTACAGTGTTTTGTATCAGGCGAGAGAGGAAATGCAATAATCATTTCAAAGAGAAGAGAGAAGGGAAATTCAAGGGCAGAATGGTCCACATTGACAAGCACTCACATCTATTTACCTAAAGGCAAAGTGAATACCAGTTAGAGTTTCACGACTGTGCATCATTCGCCCATGACAGAAGTATAATGACACATGAACCTCTCATGGGAGATTGAACCAACCTGTAAACGGCCCTCTTGTCAGACTCAAGCTGGGCCTGGGGGTCAAGGGTCACACTGACAGAGGTATTTCCTGTTGCAGAGGCTGCTGGGATATGGACCTGTGGGGTCTTGGGGTTCTGCTGAGTGGTGCCCGTCATCTGGTGACCGAGAAAACAATGACAAAATCAACTTTGCATTTAAACAACGGTATATTTTGTTACTGTTCAGGTGGTTTTCCGGTTGCTTCTTTCGCTTAAAGGCGTTCATACACCCTGGATGTGACGAATAAACAACATGAACATGCAAAATTCCTGCCTGGGATTATTTCGCATTAAAACCAATGGATCTGGTCTTTGCTGCTTTCTCAAGGTTGAGAGTAAAAAAAGTTTGCCATCTTGGTTCAGACTTCGGAGCCTCTGTGTTGTGTCCATTTGTGAACATTTTGAATCAAGCACAGCGTGATTGGTTGAGGCATTTATTTGCGGTATTTAAAGGCCTTAAGAGTTGACGTTGGGGGAGAGTCAAATGGATCCTTTGGTTCCCAGCTACTAATAAAAGGCCAAACCTGCTCCCCCTGTCAATCAGGCCAAATATGAAAATCACATGACCGAAATAACAGGTTTATCAACGATGTACAATCTTAACATGGACTTCTTCTACTTCTTGGAATGATCGAGCATTTTGTAATGACTTTTCAAAAGCAATAAGGTGCAACATTCACCTGACTAGGAAAGAGGATGTAGCTGGAATAAATCATTGTTGCCTGACATCAGTAGCCTCGTACTGAAGCTGTTAAGCAAAATGAATGAGATAGGACAGATCCAGTAATTGAACAAGGCACGCTCCGGTCTCCTATAGATTCCTGTTAGATGATAAATATTCAATTAGCAATATGTTCACAACAGGCCATACTGCTGAACCACACATACTGTATTTCTGTTGCTCTGGAGAACGACAGTACCACTGGTAGTTGATGGAGGAATCATTGTAGAATCTGTTCTTAGGGTGATATTTGTTGGGTGGCCAGGGGAGCGAATACGCTTTACGAATACAATCCATTGTCTTCTTCATCTCTCTCTACCCCACTTTGTCTCTCAGTTGTTCTCTCTGAGGATATGAGTCTAACAACCCCCAGCCCCGTTTTCTTGTTTTTGAGTCGGGGTGGGGTGGGAGGAAGCTTCACCCCACCTTCAAGCACCAAATGGGAAATAAATTAGCTTCTTCACACTTAACTAGCTCTCATTTGCATTTGCCGAGCGTGCAGACTGCAGCTCGGGAGCTCTCCCACGGCACTAATCCTCTGGGCGAAAGCAGACAGAGGTGGCGTGGACAAAAAGGAGGGTTTAGGCGGCCGGGTGAACCCGCTCCACCTCCCCTCCATGGGAGGGTCTGCAGTGTTACACACAGCCACAGTTAAGGCTACAGTAATTACAATGACCTCTTGGTGGCATCACATGTTGTGTTGAACACGGCAGGCTGGGGCTCGACCTCTTATCGTCACACTTTGACATACAGTATGTATCACTCTTGTCTTAATTATGAAATGCAATTCAACCTGAGGAAAAATAATTGTAATATTCCTGTAGAGACTTCCGTTTGGGATGTCAGCTGTATTCGAGTTGTGCTGGTTCGAGCTCTAAAAGGGAGTTAAACATGAATGAAAAAAATTGTTACATCACTATGTAAGATGAAATACTGTATTTTGATTTGTCAGCAGATGACTTTGTGGCAAGAAAGTAAGATATAGTTCGTTGTCATTATTATCACGATTAGACATAAAGCATTTGTGTCTGTGAGGAAGTAATGCCACTTCAACAAAAGCCGAGGGTTAACTGTGAGTGGTTTACACTTCCTATCCACACCCGTCTATAACACATTATAAACATGCTTAAAAGGTGTTATAATCGGCTTATAGCACTGTGTAAGTAAAGAGTACATCATTAAAGCTTCTGTATGCAAGATAAACATAAAAAGTAATTAATTCTCACTTGACTTAAAGCAAACAATGACAACTTAGAGTAACTTATAATCACATTATAAATAATTATAACAGTGATTATAATATATTGTGTTATGTTATCAACTATGGGAATTATAATACACGAGGATTCTGACCAGCAATTATAAAGTATTATGACACTTGACCGTATTAGTCATAAAATGCTTAATATTATTGTTATAAAGCATTATGAATATTGATTAGTGCTTAGAAGTATAATTATATACTATCAGCACATTAACACATTATAAGTATGTTTATAATGCATTATAGACGTGTGAGTCTTATTATCATATTTATGTGTACCATTGTAAGTATTACTTAAATACTATAGAGTCTGTGTATGCAATTCATTATCTCCCATAAACACATTCCTAGACTTCACAGTGTACATTTGTATCATTTACTGATTACCATGACAGTGTTAGTTGGAAGGAGCATTAACTTGTTTTTTTCTTGCACAAAAGAATATTAGCTGCCTGCTCTAAAAATGAAAGGTCTTTAAATCACCTGAAAACTTTATTTTATTAGCACTGCATATAAATGATCATGACTAAACGAGCAGCAATTTATGTTAACGTTTCGGGGGGGAAAGCTGAACGCTAATCTGCTTAAATGATTTGTTTTTCATCAGATGATGATTCACACTTATAGCTGAACAAGAATATATGTTTTCATCTGAGCCCCGTCCACTCGAACCAGGATAAAGAGCACAGATAACACACAAACATCTACCCAAACAATTAAGACTGTTCTAACTCTGACAGAAAAGCCCCATCGCTTCCAATGAGACCTGCCAAATACAGGCCTTCAACATTTACTCTTAGGGCGCTACCATGAGGTCAAATTCTGATGAAGCCTCTGACCTGTTGACTCTCCTGGTACGATGGTGGAGGAACGCTCTGGGTGGCCATCATTGTCACTGCAGGTGCTGGGGACGCATGTTGCATCATGGGATAGCTTCACATTTAGACTGGGAAAGAGACAAAAACAAGGGCAACATCAATCCAGTGCAAGGAATGACTGTGAAGTATTTTACAGCAGCAGCCACCAGGTGCTGCTATGATTAAATAATAATTCTCACTCTTCTCTTTCCCCTTCTTCATTTACTAATTTAATTCTTTGCTTCGTCTCCCCTCAGTCTCCTCTGCATGTGTTGCATAGAGCCGACAGTCAGCCGGGATGCTGCATTAATACTGAGTGATCTAACAATGCTGCAGAGCAGAGAGAAAACAAAGCAGAGACTTAATCACGGAGCACTTTTTACAGAAATACTTTACAAACCAGCGGGTTCATAATGACGGCGCAAACAAACCCGACCACTTGTTTACCAATTACCGACCGCCATGCTTGTTTACTAATTACACTACAGCTGGCTTTAAAGCAAAGCGTCTTGGTGGAGTCACCTTGGTCGCCTCTATGTGTTGGCTGCTGATGTTGTTGTCGCGCCGTTACCGAGCCAATCAAGAGGGCTAATTAGGGCTCTTGTTGGCGGGCTAATTGCTATTGGCCGGGACCCCACAGGGCTGAGGGCGGTACCCTGCGGAACACCGCTGTAACTATCACGCCCACCCCTACTGAAGGAGCTAATTGGTTCAGGGGTACGTTACACACACACACACACACACACACACACGGACCCCCTGCCATCGCCACAACTTACTATAGGGGAGCTCAGCAGGTGCTCCATCCTAAAGCTACATGCAACCTATGTGTACACCCTGCATGGAAATGTGCTGTAAATGAACTGTTTGACCTGAGGGGGTGAAAGGGTGTTTTGATAAATGTTAAGGGGTAAATTGTATCAAATTGTACAGTTTTAACCTTTATAAAAGATGAATGTAAATCCAAATGTTGGCTGGTTACTTCAGCCCCTGGACTTATTGGAAATATCTCTTCTACTGCCACATTGAGCCTTGTGTGGCCATGAAAGGCAGGCAGCAATTACAATGGACTGGTGCACTCGGACTGCATGGTATTGACGTGGAGGGACACGCTTGACTGTGAGCGGGTGAAATGCAACTGGAACATCCGAGAGAAATCTCTGTGCCGGTTGCAACAACGGTTCAGATCTACCGCTTCAGGACATAAAGATGTGCAGTAAATCTGCCGGACCGCTAAAGCCCAGGATAAAGCGACAGATGTGTGAGTTATGGACTGATAAAAGAGAACTTTAATCTTCCAACAATAGCCATTCAAGGATCTCAGAAATACTATAAAAGGAATATAATTTAGTGATGTCATACAAAATGAAATATACCATAAAGTACTCACTACTACATAGGAATACTACAGGAACAGTAATGTCCTGTCAGAGACGAGGCAACTGGCTGAGGCCATTCCTCGCTTTGAGTGGACTCCCAATCCGATCCGCTGCCAACATTTTGATATTAAATGCTGGTTCAGTTTCATCATTGGCAAGTTCTAAATTGGGGTTTTAGCTGCAAATCTGCATGTTTTATAACACGCGTGCTGCGTACGCACGTGTGTGTGTGTGTGTGTGAGTGTGCACGACTGTTTGCACTGTGTGTGTTCACTCTTGTTTGTGTGCCATGTGCATGTCTCCGTGAGTCATTTTGGTGTACTGATTGCGTCTCCTGGTTTCTGTTCTCATTCCAACCGGTATCAGCCGAGGCATCTTCTCTGTTATCAGTCCTCATTTTAATTGCAAATGCAGCGAGCGTGTTGGTGATTAAATGGAAAATTGCACATTAATTGATGAGACTGAAGATAAAGCAATTCCAATTACTGCACTGTATTTTAGGCAGCCTCTCAAGTTTAGCCCAGCCCTCCAAGGAACGGGCCACCAAACGCCAAATCTGAGCAGGCAATCGTGCGTCCATAAATACTGTATGCACACACAGGGACATAATATGAGCACAAACACATGCCATGCAATGGCTGCTGAAGCGTGAATGTACATACAAGAACACTGCAAAAACACCAACAGACAAGACATTTAATTTCAACGGTGAAATTAAACACGCAGAAAAAAAATCTTGCCCCATGAAACTGAAAGTACAAATCCACAATAATTGTCTGGGAACCACTCTCTCTGAACTCGCCAACACTGTACGCTCACACAATAAGTGGTAAAATTCACTTTGAGGACACATGACATGTTTGTTCCTCAACAAAGGCCTTTGAATTATTACAGAGTTCATAATGCATATCAATTGAAAAGTGCCTGTAGTCGCAATCAAAATTCAAAAGCAAGCATAAAATGGAAAATGAGAAGTAGGCATAAAATTATTCCTACAAACATCAAAGGGTTTTGCGACTTTGGATTGGAGGCAGTGGTACTCTTTCATCGGATTCTGTGTCTATTCAGCATTCAATTTTCCAACGATTCTCAGGCATGGAACGGCTCTCTGCTGTATTGATGTAAGGTTAGTCAGTGGCAGAGCTGCAGTTTCACCCCGTTTACCACCGGCAGTGGAATGAAAATCCATATCTGGTCACGTATGATGTGATCACTGCCTCTGGCCTCCACACTTCAACCGTGTCCAAAGCTTTTCCTTGTCTGCTCTGGTTTGAGGGTGAATTCATTGTACGGTGTTGAACTTCTATCAAACGTGGGATGGGAATGCTTTCTGCTACCAACCAAGGCGATGATCCTCCTTGTGATTTACACAGAGAACAATCCCTGCACTCCAGCTTGTGACCCGGCAGGATTTTAGCACCAGATCATTAAAAGCAGACTTGTGGCAGACAACGATGTGACCCTCTCTCATGGTGATTTATCAACACTCTGCAAATTCATACTAACGAAGCAGTGAACAGGAGGTGTCGGGGTTGACTGAGACACAGGTACATTCAATCCTCACACGTGAAACTGAAAATAACCCCACGTTGGTGACTTGATGCTGCTGAGACTGTGATGTTCTGATTTGTAAACCGCCTCTTGAACACAGCTCAACTCTCTCTCCTACCAAACTCAGACTGGGTGAGGACTGAAGTGGAGGGCATTTAGTATGATGAGTGTTGCAAGAATGAACATATAACTAGAATTAACGCCTCATGGATGTTTGCCTCCGCCAATCAATTTTCATCATCACTTCTTCCTTTTTCTCATATTAGATATTTGAATAAAATCATCAAAAAAAATTGAGTTACAGCAAAAAAAGTGTTTTACAGAGACCTTTGTCCACCAAATTCTATTGAGTTCATCCTTCAGTCCAGTTTGACAAATTTTCCCTCCAGGTCTTCCTGAGATATTTCTCTAGAATGGGACTGACATGCGTACAGAAGGACGTACAGAAGGACAGAAGGATGGTCAGAATGACAACCTAAAAACTTTACAGCCTCTATTCAAAGCTGTAATGTTTAGGAGGTGTGTGCTAAATACGGGGGGTCTCGGGAGTACTGAGACCCCTTGATTGACACTTCAGACCCCTGAAAACCTCAATAGCAAAATGTCAGGGGGTCTCCGATTGCCACTGGGTATTTCACACACTGGGTTAAATGGTTACCATTGTCACACAGCTGAGTTTGTTGGTAATGTAATTAGTTTTGCAGGTATTTGGTCATAAACCAAAATACTTAAACAGCCAAATGTTGCCCTGATGATGGTGGCAGATGAAACATGAGAAATCACCAGAGTTATTACATTTCATCCTGTAGGGGAAAATTATTATCTTGCTTCAAATTTCATGGCAATCCCAAAACCACAAATGGTGACGCTTAAAGAAAAGTCAGGGGGTCATGAGGGTTTCTTGTCTGGGAACCATGATTGCTTATATCTCATCTTTTGTCAATCCATTTCACAGTTGTGGGGGTATTTCAGTCTGGATCAAAGTGTATGTGAATGTTTGTTGTGTCATAATATGCCCAGCTCAGTGTTTTTCCTTTGTTTGATTTATTAATTCATGTGTTTATATATTATATTTTGTTACTCACCTGTCCTCTCATTTCAAATGAGTTGTGATGGTCGGCCCGCCCTGATTGGTTTCACCTGTCCCTCGTTAGCCCTGACCTCACCTGACCTCCTGCTCACCTGTCCCCACTTCAATCAGTCCTTCACTACATTTGCCAGTTGCAATTAGTGATGGAAGATAAAACCTAAGGCAGAATTCTAGTCTGTCAACTACGACGGAGTATTAGAGCCACTGTTTATATTAATATTAATCAGCAATTTAGAGTATTAAGTCATAATATTATAATAGCATGAGCCTGATAGCTCTGTCATCGTCTCCACATCCCCCTAGCTTATAGACATCTGTCTCCAGACTCCAAGCTGCCATTGAAAAGCTTTGGGAAGCAGTTGTGAGCTGCACTTTATCAGAGGTGGTGAAGTTACATTAGTGTTACATTTGCAACACAATGGAGGGATTTCACACTACCATACAGCAGAGCAATACTGTGATGCATAGGGCAGGTCATTTTTGTTCTTGAAATATTATAATATTTTATTCACAGTAAATTACGACTTTATTCTCGTATTTTTATGATTTTTTTTGTTCCTCAAAATATTCCAACTTCTCAGAGAACACGGAAATTTGGAATATATATTTAATGTGCAGAAAATGTTGAAATCTTTCTGAAATACATGTGTGTTGACTCGGCAGAGATAACATAAATGAGAAAACTGATCAACAGCAGAATACATACCTGAAAGCAATACAGAATGCCTGAGAGCCTTACTGAATTAGTTCCATTATATTCTAATATTTGGTCACCCTATTGACATTTATTTTGCTTTACGTAAATGAAGATATTTCCACCATAAATTGGTGCATAACCAGAATGCATGAAATATAGTGAAATACACTTTTTATGTTTTATTTGTTTCAAGTCGTATTTGATCTAATAGTTCATTTGTTTAAAATAAATCATGTTGATATTTAACATTTGTTTACTTCATTTAGTATTGATTACCAACGAGCTCTTCTTAAGACCCTCTTCATAAAAATCTGCATGCTGTTTTCAGCTGACTAGTAAAAGCCTCTCTGAATCAAATGATAGACCGTCCATTTGCTCTCATAACCCACAGTTTGGGAAAAAAATTAAATAATTTCACAGACAGAGAAATTAGCCCATTACCCACAATGCCAATTTCTTAAAAACCCAAACAACATCAGTGCAAAGGCTTGTCTAACTTAGAGATCAATTTAATCCGCTTCTTCATAAATAATATCTTGCGCATATTCATGAAAACAAAGACGCCGTATCATAGTTTTTCCACCCGAGGCTAGATTCTCTCACTCACAATGTT